AAAATAGAGTCTCCTCTAAACCAAAATGTAATCTATGTCTAGTTCAAATTGCATCCATATTATTACAGTTGTTGGGATTACACAGTAACATACATCCAAACTCTACCATTTATGTTAATAAAAATGAGATCAACTTTTGAACTGTACCTGATTTATTAATTAATTTTAGATCTGTTTCTGTCGCCATTCAAATTTCCTTTGAATAAGTAAGTAAAAAGAAATATCGTATAAAGGTTTCTTTCAACAGTTTCTTAAGGTTTGAAATACATAAAGTTGTAAATATGGCTTTCGTTACTCATTCCTCGCTTTTCAAACTTCATGTTGAATGTGATTTATTTCGATAAAATTTACACAAAGTTTACTTTGTGATTTTGATAAATATCCAATGGAAGTAAACTCAAAGTATTTATAGAACCTGTAATTTAAACTGTCGAAGTATTTTAAACCTAACTCTAAAGATATTAAAGTTTTTCCTAACTGAAAAATAGCAACTTAGGTTAGTTAAGGCAGAAAATCTCATCTGTCGTGTACTGTTAGAGAGAGAGTGGCGCTGGCATAACTTATTCCGACGTTAATACGCTCTACTTAATTTTTTTTAACGTAAATAAAGATAAAGTACTAAGATAAAATAAGCAACTTGTATATTTAGGTAATTAAATTATAAAAACCAAGAAAAGTCAAGTCATAGACTAACATTAACCAGATTATTTCAATTTTTTTTAATCTATTAACTTTTGTAATACCTACTTTAACTTAAAATTCAAGATGGCGGATAACTGTAGAGATTAATGGCCAGTTTCCCAGCTACGTTTAACCAGTCGTTAGTATTTTTGGTTCGATAAATTCATGAAATGCGTTTCAGAATTTTGTAACTTTAGTTTTACTCAGTTGAAATTTAGGTGAACTTAACAATAATTAATCAATAGGTTATGATAAATAAATGGAAACTTCTGAAACCCAGCATAAGTCGTTTAATAAAATGTTGAAAGCCATTGTGAGCGGCAATCTCGCTTAAATAGTTTCAAAGTAATCTCTACTTAGAATTAATGCCCTTTACGATGCCATTAAGAAATAAGATAGGATACGAAGCGTAGGCGGCACAGTTCAGGTTTTTGTATTTTCGAATTTTGTATGTTTTTTTTTATAATATGAGGTGGCAAACGACCAACCAGCCACCCGAATCCACCTAAAATAGAAAACGACCGCTGCCCATAAACATCCGCAATTGAAGATGCGCTGCCTACCCTTAATTGACGGAGGAGGGGGCACATAAAGAGGACATTTCCCCTTCCTAAGCGTCTCCCACACCGTCAAATCGACTTTTCCTTCCCATCCTTTCCATTTAAGAAAAGGGTGGAAAGGGAAAGGGAATAAAATTAGGCCTCCGGCACCACACTCATCAGACGAAACGAGGAATTGCTTCCACTTCACGCCTGTTTTCTCTGTGGTGTGCGAAGATGTTAAAGCGGGCTCTACCATTGTTAAACCGGTATGTAGTTACATTTAACCGGTTACGGTGACTATGGCCTAGTCAACCATAGCCGTTTGCTCCCAAAGCTGGTACAAATCTCTTTCAGAGCGCTATTAAGTACTAAAAGCGGTGCACTTTATAATATAATTAATAGAATGATTACATAGTGTTTGTTACATTGAATCGATTGTTACATATTGTGTGTCCTTGTGTATGTATTCGCGTTACATTGTCTCATTTTCAACATCCAATAGTCATGCAAATAAGGCGATTGATTGGACGTGGTTTAGCGCCTACGTCACCTTCGCATAAACTTTGATAAAGAGCTTTTGAAGTATCAGTATTGAACCCTGAAGATAGAATTCAAATATGGGAATTTGAAAATGTCAATTATGTTGATAAGATGCAATTATGGGAAAATCACTTTTAACGTAAACCAATTTTTTATCAAACAATATTTATTATGTTACAGTCAAGGTAATTATTAAATCTTTATTCATTACGTCTAAAAAAAAAAAGAAAAAAATTTCCTTTAAGTCACTTTGATACTGAAGTATATAGAGATCATCTTACTAATCTTACTTTTTACTTAATATTATAAATGCGAAAGTTTAGATGGATGTTTGTTAGCGTTTGTAGCCTAAACGGCTGAACGGATCTCCATGAAATTTGGCACAGGTTAAGAGCATAGTATGGAAGAATACATAGGCTACTTTTTATCCCGGGAATAATTACGGTTCCCGTGGGATTCATTAACTTAGTTTTTTAACGTTTACTCGATCATTCTGCAACGGTTCAACATATCTTATTGAAATTTGGCACAGATATATAACAAAGTCTGGAGTACACATGGGATAAGCTTCATCCCCGATAAGTGTCCGGTTCCCGAGGGATACGTAGCTTTTTGTAATTTATATAGTTCGTATGTTTTCTAATGCCACGCGGACGAAGTCGCGGGCAACAGCTCGTTATTTATAAAGGCTAAGTAATGTTTCTTGTAAGAATTTACTTGCAGTTAAATGAGATGTAACTTTTTATATGTAGAGCAACAACTCGACCTTTATTGTTTTAATAAAAATAAATTATACGAACACGTAATAACTTATGTAAAATATATTGTCGCGTTATCCATTGATGAGTAGCAGAATTCATGTCCGTGGAAAAATCGAGCTGTTTCCAGAATATTCTATAGCAACGCCATCTGTTGGCTAGAAACGGAAAAAAACATTCGCGAAAAGATATTGAACATTCGAAGCGACATCGAGAATGTTCTATCGGATATATGTAATTCTAATAATTGAGAATGTGTTGGAATAAAATAACAAAAGAGTAACGAAATGAAGATCGACATTCGGACTAAATAAAGGGAATCAGATCTCGGAGAAAGGGAACTGTGAAGAAGTCCTAAGTGAACTTCAAAGAAGGTAAAGTGACCATGAAGTGAAAGCGCTAGTGTTATAGAGCCAGTGGTGTTTCTTAAGTGCTCAGTGCTAGTGACTCTGTGTGTGTGTGTCGTGTAGCGTTAAAGAACAATTGTGCAATGATTCTCTGTTGCTGTGAGTTGCGAATAAATTAAAGAAGAATTATCAAAGTGTTTTAACTCTAACCTTACAACCCTACACTCGTAGTTCTTCTTTCCACTTCTCCCATTTCCCATAGTATTGTACATACTTCGGAATTTTTTAGCAAATAAATAGTCACGCCATTATTGATATTGGCCGATTTATTTCTTAACACATAACATGACAGATGATAAGGAATGTTTATATAACTAACTTCTCGTCATAAATATTACCCATTGCTTATTCGCCGTCGTAGAAAGTCGATAGTGATATGTTACTAAAAGCGTGTTCCAGTATTTTGTTCATAATTACCCTTAACTATGTCTCTGTACGCGGCCTGTCTGCTGATCAGAAGAGCAGATTCGCCTTCGTGATAGACGACACGTACTCAATGGCGAGCGACATCGCAGAAGTGAAAAGCAAAACGAAACTAATATTTGATACAGTCCGCAAATCCGCAGAGTCGCATATTGAAAATTTTATTTTGGTTACATTTAATGACCCCGGTAAGTTTATTCTTGAATTAAATTTTATTCCAACGTAAGTACGAGTAAAGAAGTACTAGGAAGACGTGGAATCCTTTATGCTAGATTGACTGAAGGGTAAAGGTTTTCGAGGATAAATGCGGTATCACACAACATTTACTGACCGTTCTTATTTCAATTCGGCTAAGCATTAATTTAAATTATCGTGGTATGCCACTATTACATAGTAGATGGTAACTAGTCACATAGCAACTGGATGCCCCGTTCGCCGCCTGGTGCCTGGTCTCTGTTGGTGTTAATCTAGTTAAGTCAAGTAACAGTAAAAATATGCAGCGATGCTGTCCTGCTGACCCACACGTACGTCGCACATTGGGCTGTACCCAGTTGCTCCATAGACAACTTTATCTGATGTTTGAAATGTCTCTTTTTTTTGCTTGAATGTGCTTTGTATCAGTAAATGCATACCTTATAACGTAATAATTATCTTGTATCGATGTTTTTGGCGCAATTAGAACGTTTTCTCTGAAAATTTGTATGGAGTCGCCCTCAAAATTGGCGATAACTCAGCTATCGCACAATTGCGCCTTATTTCCTCAGAGATAACGTTTGTACAACTTGTAACGTATTTTTTTGGTATACTATTGGACATGGGCACGGGTGCGATTTTTGACTTATTCAAGGTCAAAGGTCATAAAAATTACTTTTTCGCTTATTTCAGCGGAATGGTTAGCTTATGGTTTCCCGTATGAGCGTTAACGACGCGTCGTTAACGCTCATACGGGAAACAATATTTAATGCGACGCGTCTGTATCACCGTCCGCTATCTCTTACCGAGAATAGATAAATAAAAAAAACATAAACAGGTCACGAACCTTTGTTAAAACAAGTTGATGTCCATTATTGTCAACACTGCGATATGAAACTAAGTGAGGTAAAACCAGATTTTATTTCCAAATACAATATGAAATCTTTACAAGGTCGCTAGCATCCGGTATGTAATTATGTTCCATTGCTGTGGGTAAGTAATCGGCCGAAGAGGTTATGCACAAATGACCACACAGAAGACAGGCCTCAAGTGGAAGTCACTCCGTTAAGTTGGCTTTTCGATGAGTGTGCGTATCAGAGGTTTTATTTTAGTTGACATCACCTTTCCACCCTTTTCCTACAAGGAAAGAATGAGAAAGGGAATTGAATTTGGCGGGGGAGAGGAATTAACAAAGGAGATATCCTTTGTTGATTTTTAAAACATCTGGCGCCACGCTTCTGATAATATTCGTTTATAGATTTCAGGCCGGCACTGGTAACGAATAATGAAACTGTATTCAAGTCAGCTCTAGATGCAATCGTAGTGTACAGCAGGCCGGACAATTTGGAATGTCCGGAGATGTCGATGCATGGGCTGGGCGAGGCTCTGGCGCACACCCTGCCCGGCTCCTATATCTATTTAT